GCACATGCGTTCCTAAGTGCTGAGGCCAAGCTGCAGGTGCATCCCAGAGTGCCGGGCTCCTGGGGGGCACACGGGCCTCCTCCAGGAGGACCCCGGCACTGCCTGTCCCTGTCCCACGGGACCCTGTGGGGCACAGGAGCGACCACAAATCCCAGTGAGCCCCAGAGACCCCAGGCTCCACACTCGAGGAGAAACAACCCCGTGAGCTCAACCCAGGGGCCACGCCAGTGCTGCTGCACTGCCCATCCCAAGGCAGCCAGTGGGACACCACGGAACGGGGATCCCCCTCCCCAGAGCCCCCAGTCCAGCCCTTCAGCTCAGGCACGCTTGGATCCTGTGTGCTCGCACCCATCACTTCCATCGGGAACACGCCTGGATCCTGCAGGCACCCAGTGAGTCCCCGCTCGTCCGAGGGGCTGTGCCCGGGCACGGAGGGAGCAGGGCCCGGGTTTCCTGCCAGGAAGGACCGAGGGACAGGCGACAGGCACTGCCCGAGCACGAGGCTGCTCATCGCATCCGCTGCCTCCTCCCGGGAGCCGGTACCGGGACACGATCGCACCCCGGGAAGGGCCTGTGACAAATTCTCATGGAGGCCGGGATGCCTTTGCCGTGAGCTCACCCAGTGACTAACTTGTTTATCTCCCGCGGGAGCTGCACCGAGGTTTTGGGAAGCAGCAGATCCCCGACAGCTCCTCTGCCTGTTCCAGGCGCCGCCCCCACCCCTTTCCTGAAAAACACTCGGAAATCAGGAATCCGCGGTGGCACCAGCGCGTCCCCTCGCTGCCAGGACAGCGACAGCGAGCGACTGCTCTGCCCCCATACCCACGGCAGGGAACCTGGGAAGAATCAGAACACCTGGATCTTGGAAAACCAGGCATGGAAATTCCGGCACAGCTCTGGGGAGCATCTCCAGTGCTTCGCTGGGCCGGTTTGCTTGCACAGGTACTGGGAAGGCGCCGCTGAGACCTCATCCTGCCCCATTCCCTGCCCAGGGAGGCACCAGCACGGTCAAGCACAGAGCGGGATGTCTCTAGAAAGTCCCTGGGATGTCCCCTGTTCCAGGCCAGTTTAGATGGGGTTGGAGGAACCTGTGATAGTGGAATGTGTCTCTGCTCATGGCAGGGAGTTGGAACGGGATGAGCTTTAGGGTTTCTTCCAACCCAAACCATTCTGGAATTGTCTGTGTCTGACAGGTTCATCCTAATCCCCAGGTAACCACTCCCAGTGCTCCTGTGTCACCACGTGTCATCTGTTCTCCCCAGTGCCACCTGCCGCTCCCAGTGCCGGGTCTGGCGCTTTTTCTGATCCACCAGCTCAGTCCCTGCNTATTGTAATCCCCTGTTGTTAATAGTTTTCCTTTAATTACCTGTTCATGATGTTTGGAAATCCCCCCTTGTCGAGTATCCCCCTGCTGCTTCCTCAAAGGTGGCACCCGGGACTGGGAGGAGGAGGTGACATCAAGGCTGGCAAATGTGGGGAAATGAGGGAAACCCCTCGCCAAATCTAGCAGGAAACACCCCTAAAACAATGAGCCATCATGGAATAAAGAGATTGAAGTGATGCCTAGACATGAGGAACAGAATCCAGTGTCCCCTAAGACCCTTTTTTACCTCTCACCCTAATCTAAAAAGACATCAGCTAGAAAGAGGACTTCGAATGTCAAACCGAAAAACTGGGAATCTCCTGGTGCACTCATGAGGATAGAACCCCCAGCTCTGCCTGCAGAGCAGCGGACACAGCTGCACTCTTCCTCCTCCTCCGTGCCACTCCTGGGAGCAGCGGCAGTGTGTGCGCCACCTGTGGGTTCTCCCCACCTGACCTGATTTTTAATAAAGGTATTAAAAAGGAGAAAGATCTCCTGCCCTATTTATTTCACACCCACTGCCACTGGACAGGGAGAGGGGAAGCTATCAACCCGCAGCATGCTGAGTTGTGGGCAGGCTGCTGAAATCCTGACTGCGCCTGCTGCCATTGGGAACCTGGCTCAGGCCGCCCCTCAGCACAGCAAGAGCTGAAATCAACAGTGCAAGCAGCTCCAGTACCATCCCAGCAGAGATCACACAGCCATCCACAGCCCAGGTGAGATATCAACCCTTTCAGTGCTCAGATGAAACTTACAGACATCAATCCTCTCTCAAGTAAGAGGAAAAGAAAGGGTCAAGACACATAAAGAAAACAACACGGAGACACCAAGGTCAGTGAAGAAGGAGTCAAATCCCAGATGGGAGGAGAATGAGGAGATGCCTTAGTCTTGGGCTGAAAATCTCTTGTAAGGCAATGGTGAAGACAAAATTGATACATCAGACTCTTTTTTTCCTTGTAACTCATGGAATGCACTGGGGGGATGTAGCGTTCTAACCATCACTGTGAGCAGAGGCACTCGTGTTGAAGCAAGCAGATGTTGAAGTAGCTGTGATCCAATGAGAAGCTTGAATAGAGAGAAATTAGAAAGATGAAAAGCCTTGCCCCAGGAATGGAAAAAGAAAACCTCTGTTCCCAGAGATAAAAGAAGAGAACTTTTTTTTCTATACTAGAACAGCTCATCCTTAAAATTGAACCCCAATAAGCTGAAATGACCCTTGATGGCAGTTGTGGGAAAACTACCAAAACCATGGGAGGACTTCACGATTGCAGATTTCTGGGCAGGTGCTATTTGTGAAAATTAAAACCATGAGAGAACTGTTCCTTGTGGAAAAGTCTCCATGGTATGGCAGGAGAGATTCCTTACCCTAAGTGGACTGAAGAAAGATGATTTTAAAGGTGCTAACCTGANCACCAGTGCCCACCAGAGCCCACCAGTGCCCACCAGTGCCCACCATCCTCCTCCACAGGGCTGTCAAGCACATGGGGTTGGGAGAATGGAGCCAGAGCTGGGAGCCTCCCAGGTGGTTGCTGGGACCATGGAAAGGGACAGTGACCTCATGCAGAAGGATGGGCATGGAGACACCTCCTCCTCAGGCACCTGCACTGCCCTCAACAGACCCAGATGGCCATGCTTGTGCTCCAGATCACTGAAGCAATTCCCTTTCCCAAAGAACTGAGATGCTGAAAGAGGTGAGGGAATTTGCTGCAATCCCTGGAAACTGGGATTGCTACAGACCTGCAAACTGGTCTGTGGCAGGAGATAGAAGCATTGCTGGGATGTGGGAGGAGGTTTGGGAGCCATTCACGTTTGTCTTGGCTGGGAGAAGTTGGAGTCTCCTGCACAAGGACCATCAGCTGAGGAGGGAGGGACACCCATCCCCTCCTGTCCTCCCCTAAACAGGGGACACCTGAAGTGGGTCCCCAGGGCCCCTCACTGCTGCAAAGACCATGGAGAGTGAAAGGCTCCATTCCAAAGGACAGACAGCCCTACTGCCTTCCTGCTCCAGCATTTCCTACCACGCCTCCCCTCTGGTACCTCCTGCATCCTCATTTACCCCGGAAATCTCCCAGGGACTCATCTCCTGAGCCCACTCAAATGTCCCTCCCAGCCCAGGGATGCTGGGGAATCAGGGGGTCTCTCAATACCCCAGGGAAGATGCTCTTCCCAGAGGAGCCTCAGAAGATTCCTGAGCTGATCCCATTGATCCTTGCCTGGAACCACATCCCTGTCCCCCAACAGGGAGCGGGGAACACAAAGCTCCCAGCTCCCCCACCCACGGCACATACCCCACACTCCATAAATATTTCTCTCTTTTGGGACATCTTCCAGCTTGGAGAAAGGAGAGACAGACTTCCCAAGCTAATGGCTCATGGATAAGTTCCTGACATTGCTCAGAGCAGTGAGCACCCCCTCCTCCCCTGCCTGAGGTCTGTGGCAGCCTCAGACATCACTGGGCAGGACCATCACAGGTGGAACATGCCTGGATGGAGAAGGTGAAGTTCCATGAGAGGAGCACAGCCCGCCCTGAGCTCTGATCCATGCGAGTTCTCCCTCTCCCTGGCCCCACAGGCAGGATGAACCGTGGGTCATCCCCGGGCCAGGAGTTTGGAGGTGGCACCAGGGCAGGCAGAGGGAATCTGAGTGGCAAGGAGACGTTCTCCTTGTGGATGTCCCACCAAGCACAGTCCCCCGAGCTGGTGACAAAGGCAAGAGCAGAGGGAGCAGAGGCAGCTGGCAGAGGCGTCCCCCAGGCCAAGATAATAGGAGAGAAACCGTGACGTAAGGCCAGGGGAAGTGGGGTCCTGGCCTTTCCCAGGCTCTGCCGTGCTCCACACTCCACTTCCCTGCCAGTTTATCAGCCACTGGAGCAACCAAGGGAACATCAGCCAGGACAGAACAAACAAACATCCGAGTTTGGGCTTCCTTCCTTCCTTCGAATAACCAAAGAAAAAAAAAGCCCCCCAAAAAAAAAAACCCAGAGAGAGATGCGGAATTCAATTAAATTTAAAAAGACTGAAACAAGTCAAATAAATGTCAAATAAATAAGCATTTGTGTTTCCATGGTGACATGATGCATTCCTGGGAGCGGGAGCTTGGCCTTGGGGAGAAGCAATGCTGGAGCAGCAAAGCCAGGGATGCCCCAAGTGGCCCCATCAAGTGCAGCCCACCACTGGGCGCAAGGGACCAGCATGAGTCCCTTGGTTCGGATAACTCTTGGATCATCAGAATTTCTCCATGGACTCCCAGGTCCCCAGCACACAGCCATGGCTCACCAGGAGCTCACAGCCAGTTTGGAGGAGAACTCTGGGTAGGAGAGGTGTTTTCCCTCTTTCTGTTTCATTCCCACAGCAAATGTAGGTCAGGACCAGCCACCTGCAACTCCAGTCCATGTACCCCCATGTTGGGGTGGGTGTTGTGGTTTAACATAGCTTGGTTTTTAGTTGAAGAGAAAATGTATCAGGTATGGAAGTGATTCTCTGTGAGGACTGCTAACAGCTTCCTCCAGGCCCAGCGGAACCACTCAGCTGGCTGCTTTTGAATACTGACACCTTGTTAAACCACTTAAGAAAGCTGGACAAGCCTCTGTGAAATCACATTTGAAAACGAACAAACCCCGGGAAAAACGCTCTTGTTTCNCCGTCCCGCAGCTCCGCCCGCCGTTCCAGGGTCCCAGGTAATGCCAGCCCCGGGCTCACACGGGAATTACGGTCCCAGCGAAAGGGAATGAAAGGTTGCAGCTCGTGGGCAGAGCTGTTTTCCATCATTCCCTGGAAAAACACAACCCCACCCTGCCCGGGAGAGCTGCCTGGCTCCTCTTTGCCCGGGCAGGACTCAGAGCATGGAGTGATTTAGCAGTAGGAGTTTATTGGAGTAACTCCTCTGGGGGGTTCTACCATCAGGGCTGGCTGCTTTGCTGGAAAAACAACAGAATTAGAACTTGTTTCTGTTGAGCTGTGTGGCCTGGGAAGGCTTTGCCTGGGAGAAACGCAATCAGGAGTCTGGAATAAGGTTCTGGGAATGGGGCCTGCCATCAGGTGGTCAGTGTGAAACGTGGGGTGAGCAGATAATTCCCTTTGCTTCCAGGAAAATGAAGTAGCTGTGAAGCTGGCAGTGCCTGGGATGTCTTTATTAGCTCCTTAATTTCATTGAAATCCCATGTGGGGAAGGGCTGGAAGAGGAATCTGGTTCCTGACAGCTGAGATCTGATGGAGTTGTCTGCCGGGTGAAGGCAGGAGCTCAGCAGGGAACAGCCAGTCTGCTTTTTGTCTCTGTGGTAATTAATTGTAATTAACTGAGTCAGCTCAGGCTGTTAAACTCTGCCTGTGTCCTGTCCAAGAGGTGCTGCTGTCCGGGGGGATCTGGTTTGTCACCTGGGCTTGTGCTCTTGGCTGCTCTGGCAGAGCCCTCAGGGCAGCTCAGCCTTTGCAGAATTTCTCTTTTTCTTGGTGTTCCTCCACTGCAGAGAGAACTGTCAGGTTAAAGGATCCCAGAGGATCAAAAGCCAAATTCCTTTCCCGCACTTTGGACTGTTGTGCTTCTCACAGCTCCCTGTTCCATATGGAACAGAAACGTTGGTTCCAGCCAGGTGCTTCCAGGAGTAAAAACTGAGTGAGTGTGAGCAGCTGAATGTTTGAGGTGTTTTTCATAGAAAACACCTTTTTTTTTTTTCTTGTTTTTTTCTTTTTTTTTTCTTTTTATTTTTTTTTTTTTTTTTCAGAGGAGCTGGACAAACAGGCTGGAAGGGCTGGAGCAGGGCAGGGAGGGCAGCAGGGTCATCCCATGCCCTGGACGGTTTGGCTAAAAGCTGGTGAAAGCCTCCAGGTGTGTGGGTTTCTCCTTTCTTAGATGTTCCCATTGCTGAAACGATTTGGTCACTCATTTTTTTCACCATTTCCTTTGCCCAGAATGGGGACTGTGGCTTTTTCTCAGAGAGGTTAAACCCAGTTTTGTTTCCTTGAAATATTTCTTGTGAGACAAACTGTAGTGTTAGGGTTAAACCCTGTGATTCCCAGCCTTCCTTTCTGTTCCTTCCACAGCATCTCCTGTCCTTTCTCTCCAAAGACTGATGGGAATTCCTCAAATCACAATAGATTTGAGGTTTCTGCTTTTCCCTCCAGCACTGTTCTCTCCTTCACCCTGTGGGTCCTCTGTCACCTACCATGTGTGTTTATGCACTGAGCATTTAATTTCTGCTCCCTCCTGCCCTTTCCCTTTGAATTCCGAGGGAAATCTTGTCTGGAATTCTCTCATTTCACTGCTGCCCATGTGTCTGGACCACATAAAGCATAAAGGTGAGGTAGCAGGAGGTGCAGGAAGAGAGTTTGCTGTTCATGTAGCTCATCCAGCTGTTAGCTCTGATGAAACAACAAAAATTATAAATCCTCCCTAATCATACAGATTTTTGGGGGTTTAATGCCTCTTAGTTTTAGTAGGTCTTGGAAAGATTGAATTTAAGGCTCTCCCTGGGCTGCCTGTGGTGTTTTCTTCCAGGAGGAGCAACGTGAAATCTCCCTGATTAGGTTTAATTATCTGGGTCACTTCCCATTACCTGTGTTAATTTCCTTCTCAATTTTGATATTGGGAGAGGAGGAGATCAAAGAAATGTGTGTGTAAGGATCAGACTAAGGCTGGAGCTGGCCCAGGCCATGTGCTGATGGATTTGTGGGTGAGCCTTTTCCTGGCATTTTGGGTCCTCTGTGTGTGTGCAGGCAAGATTCCTTACTTAGATTCCTTGTTTTCTACCCCTCACTGGGATAGTGGATCCAAAAGCCAAACTGTACAGACTTTCCCTCTCTCAGATAAGCTTTGTGAGTTGTTGGTTCAGGGATTTAAATAATTTCTTTAAGATTTTAAAGCTGATAAAAATCAGGGGCAGCTACTGGGTTTTGTAGCTGTAGGTTTTCTTCTCTTGGTTATGAGATTTGTGTGTCAGGTGAGGCTCATTCCTCTTTGTGTGGCAGATTTTCAGAGCTGGGCAGCAGGAACAGGAACTGGATATCTTGGAAAAGGAGGCTGGAGCCAGGGAGTTTGGTCTTTTCTCCCAGGTAACAAGGGCTAGGACAAGAGGAAACACCTTCAAGCTGTGCCAGGGGAGATTTAGATTGAATGTTGGGAAAATTTCTCATGGAAAGGGCTCTGTGGCTGAAGTGTGTCAGTGTGCCTTCATCTCAAACCTTCTCTTCAAAAACATTCCCACTTTTTCTCCCTAGGGATGTCTGCATTCTTTTATCCCTGCTTAACAAGTTGCTGCTGGGAATGTGGCACCTCTGTGGATTTGGTTGTTATCAGCAGCTTTTGAGGTCTCTGCAGAGCAGCAGCAGCTTGGACAGCCAGAACTCCAGTGCCTGGACTCTCCAGATAAGAAAATGAAGGAAAATCAGAAGTCTAGGATAAGAAATGCTTTCTGAGCCTGTGTCTTATCCAGAGAGACCACATTTCAGTGCACTTCAAAGTGCTGTTAAAATCCTGCTGGGTTTAGACCTGGCCCCCCGAAATTCACAAACATGACAGGCATTTAGACTGAGGCATCATCTCTTAAAACTTGTCAGGTTTTTGCCCTTGCTCTTTGCACTGAAGAGTTGTTACAAATTTCCCTTGGAGAAATCGCCTTCTAACCTCTATCCTAAAATTAATCACGGTGGTTTCTCCTTCATGCCAGCTGCGTCCTTCACCAGCAGCAGAGATCTTCCTCCTCCTCATTGTTTTGCCTGCTTTTTCTAGAACTGGCCTAATCACCAGATTCCTCTGTTATTGCTTCCCTAACCAAGGTCACTTTGCTTCCCCGATTGCTGCAGTTCCATCCAGGAATGGTGAATTCAAACTGGGAATGCTGGAGGGGGGACAAGACCTTCAGAGAGATGAGGCTTTGCTGCTGTTCTGCACAAGAGTGTTGAACACAGCTGTCTCTCCTGGATTGGCTTTGCCTGGTAAATCACAGAATCATGGAATGGCTTGGGTTGGAAGGGACCTTAAAGCTCATCCCATTCCAGCCCCTGCCATGGGCAGGGACACCTTCCACGAGCCCAAGTGGCTCCAAGCCCCAGTGTCCAACTTGGTCTTGGACACTTCCAGGGATTCAGGGGCAGCCACAGCTTCTCTGGGCACCCTGTGCCAGGGCCTGCCCACCCTCACAGGATCCTGGGATGTCCTTTGTGTCTCCTCAGGGCTGTGTCCTGCTGGGGTTTAGGACAGAGTGTCACATCCAAGTCCCCTTGTCGCCTCTCTGCTGACTGGCAGGATGTGGTGCCAGAGGCTGGCGTGGCTGCTCCGGGGCCGGCGTGGGAGCGCCGGACGTCGCTGGCCGTGGCTGCCCCGGGGCCCTGGGCCCGTCCTGGCTGTCCCTGCACGCTGCCACCCCACGGCCCCAGCGTCCCCCTGCTGTGCCTGGCAGCTGCACCAAGACCATCTCGGTAGGTGTGCTGGGGGAGGGTGCTCCTGCTCTGCCCAGGGACAGCAGGGAGGGATTCCCCCCTTGTTCCCTGGGATGATGTGTGCTTTCCTTCTGAAATAGCCTGCAACAGAGGGATGCACACTGGGGGCTGTTTCATGTTCCCTGCTGGAGTTCCCAAAGGCAGGATGGAGCAGCCTTGTCTTCTATGATAAGTGAAGCACTGCTAAATGAGTAATCAACTCCAGGGATTCCTGAACAAAAACTCTCTGAGCTGTGCCCTGTCAGGCACCATTTTCTGTGCCATGCTCAGGCTTTCCCTGGCACAGCCCCCTCGGCTCTGGTGTGTGCCCACCTCTGCTGCCCAGCCTTGTTCAGGGTTGGCAGCTGAGGCCAGTGGGATCTCAGTACTCCGAGTCACTTGCAAGCAAAGGGAATTTCTCAGCATTTTACACAGTGGCTCCAAAGGAGCCAGGCCTTTGATAAAATCCTCTGCCAGGTCTTCGTCTTGTGACAATTTATGTCAAGGGATACCACTGCATCCCCTGTAATTGGGATGACACAGTGTGGGCTCTGGGCTTCAATTCTTGGCTTTGTTTGTCCTCCCTGTTGCCCCAAAGCCTCCTCTGCTCCCCTCCCTGGCAGAGCTGAGGTACGGCAGCACCGTGATGCGCCTGGATTTCGTGTGGCTGCGGGACCACTGCCGCTCCGCCTCCTGCTACAACGCCAAGACCAGCCAGCGCAGCCTGGACACGGCCAGCGTGGACCTGGCCATCCAGCCCCAGGCCGTGCGGGTGGACGAGACCACACTCTTCCTCACCTGTGAGTCTGGAGTGCCTGTGCCCTCCTGTGCCTGCTGGTGGACAGCATTACCCCCAGGTCTGCCTGGCTGGGAAGACACTGAGCTGTGAGCAGGTTTTAGGCACTGCTGTCACTGTAAACACAGCTCTGCATCAAAGTGGTGTGGATTTCCTGCCCCCGGCCCTTCTTGTGTGTGTGCGGTGCCTGGGTTGGTCAAACTCCCCCAGCAGTGCAGGTGGTGAACAGATGGGGCATGACATGGTTGCTTCTCTTTTCCTTCCCTGTTCTGTGTGAGCAGCTGTCAGCCCTGCTCACCATGCCTGTTCTCTGTCCTTTCTCCTCACTTCCCCAGGTGCTTTCTTCCTTTTATTTGAGAGCTTGACTTCAGGGTTTTGGTTGTCCTTGGAGGCCTGTCAACAAAAGCCAAAACCACTGCAGATGCAACAGTTAGCTGGGAATTTGGAGAGGGTTTCAGCAGCTGCCCTGAAATTGGAGTTGTGGCAGCAATGATGACACCTTTAGGACTTGTGGCCTTTCAGGTCGTATTTTGGGTGGCAGCAGGGTGCAAAGGACCCATCCCCAGACAGGTGACAAGGGTGAGGCCTGTCCTGGGCTGACAGGTGCCATGATGTCGGGCTGGCCAGTGGGATTTTGGTGACTCTGCCCTTGTCCCTGTGCCAGGGCCGGATGGACACGTGACACGGTACGGGCTGGAGTGGCTGGCGAGGAACAGCTACGAGGGGCAGAAGCAGCAGGTCATGCACCCCCGGATCCTCTGGAATGCTGAGATCTACCAGCAAGCTCAGGTCCCCTCCATCGACTGCCGGAGCTTCCTGGAGACAGACGAGGGTCTGAAGGAATTCCTGCAGAACTTCTTGTTGTACGGGATTGCTTTCGTGGAGAATGTCCCTCCCACCAAAGAAGACACAGAAATCTTGGCAAAGAGGATCAGCATAATCAGGTATCTGGGCTGTCCTGGGATGGATAAACTTGTTTTCTTTCTGTTTGGAAAGCTGCTGCCTCCTTGTCCTGTGTTTTGTGTGGCATGGCCTGGTTTGCAGACAAATGCTCTGGCTGCTTCCCTGGACTGGGGTGGAGGATCCTACTGTGGGACCCACCCTCCTTTATGGAAGGGCTGTGAATCACTCAGTCATTGAGCTGCCCCTAGAGCATCCCATGACTTTTGTGACAGTGGGACTGTGCAGAGAGGAGGGACTGAAGGAAGTGGCTGGCTGGGAAGAGCAGGGCTTTGCAAGGAGAGACATTTCCTGTTATGACTTGAGGGGTCGTGAGGGCAGCCTGGCCCTGGGAGCCAGGGAGATCAAAGACCAGTTGGAGCTCTTGCTGGAGAAAAACAGTGAGAGGTGTTGGTGCTGGGTTTGTGTAAAGCACTGCCAGCATGGTATGCCAGGGACTGGGCCCAGGGCTTTATCCAAGCTGTAGAAACAGTTTGATTTACCTGGGAAAGGAGGGATTCCTGTTAATGAACAGTCACTCCAAATGGAAACAACAGGCTTCAGGGAATATCCAGCCAGCTTTTGTCTCCAGGCACCCTCCCCCTGTAGCCCCTGAGTGCTGTTTGGCCTTGCCTGGTGTCCCTTCCCTCCTGTGCGTGTTGGAGGAGGATACTGGGAAGAAGAAATGGAATTATTGGGCAACCCTGTGTGGTTACAAGTAAGGGCTGGCTGCACTTAGCACCTCCTTGTGTCGCTTCCATGACTGGGGATGATGGTTGGTATGGAAACATCAGTGGTTGTGGAGGGGAAGACTCATCATGACCAGTCTTTTGGGGAGGAAAGAGAGGAGCTGAACACCAGAAGAGGGATTAGAAGCACCATCCCTGACAATCTGAATTTTGTGAAGTTGTTCTGCTTTAATGACTCTGTGCATGGGACAGAGGGGAATAACTCAAATGTAGGGGAGGATGTGCCTTACCCAGACACTGACCTATGATAACTGCCCATCTCTTTTCCAGAGAGACCATTTATGGCAGGATGTGGTACTTCACCTCTGACTTCTCCCGGGGAGACACAGCCTACACCAAGCTGGCCCTAGACCGGCACACGGACACCACCTACTTCCAGGAGCCCTGTGGGTACGTGCTGCTGCAGGGACACCTTCCACTGTGCCAGGCTGCTCAAAGCCCCACCCAGCCTGTCCTTGGATGCTTCCAGGAATGGAGCAGCCGCAGCCTCTTTGGGTTTGGATTTTGGGTGACACAGCCTTCATCCTGCAGCTCCCGAAGTGCCCAGACTTGTGTCACTAGGTTTGGGATGCAGCACAAGCAGTTTGCTGCCTCCTCACCCAGCAGAACATGTGGAATTGGGTGTGGAGAAGCAGCAGGGACGGGTGGTGCATCCATCCACACCTGGCTGTGTCCTCGGGGAGCACTTGGTGCCCAGGGCATAGGCAGCCAAGGTCACTGCTCTCGGATTCTGTCTCCCTGCAGCATCCAGGTGTTCCACTGCCTGAAGCACGAGGGCACGGGTGGGCGGACGCTGCTGGTGGACGGGTTCCACGCGGCCGAGCAGGTGCTGCACCAGGCCCCAGAGCACTTTGAGCTGCTGGCCAAGGTGCCCCTCAAACACGAGTACGTGGAGAACGTGGGCGGCTGCCACAACCACATGATCGGAGTGGGGCCGGTGCTCAACATCTACCCCTGGAACAACGAGCTTTACCTCATCAGGTAACGGCCAGGAGGCCTCTGGGGAGGAGAGGGCGTTGTGGTGGTGGTTTTCCAGAATGTTCCATGGGCTGAAAAGCAGTGTATCTTTAATGAGCAGGGATGAAACCACAGGAACACCTTGTGTTCTTTTCGCTTTAGAGGAAGCGTCAGCACCACTGACACAAAGATGGGTGTCGGTGCTGAACTTTGATTTTTTTACTCCTGGTATTCTCCCTTCAGCTCCAAGCTCTCATCTCATTCTATGTGAGATGCAGAAAAATTCAGCCCTTCTCTGGAGAAGCCTCTAGAAACTATCCTGGCACACAGGGAACAAGGAGAGTGGAGAGTGATCCCTTCCAAAGGAATTTTGGGCTGATTTTTGAAACTCCAGTTTGCCTCAGTTCTAGAGGTTGTCCGGCACTGCTTTGCACTTTTATTCTAAGCAACTCTCAGTCTTGCCATGTCCTTCCATGGAAAGCCAGGAAGAACAGGTGTGCACTTGATGGTAAACTTCTCCTGCCCTCAGTGCTGTGTTCCCAAAGTTCTGTGCTGGCAGCACAACCTCTCTGGTCACCTCTGCAGCCTCCCTTAAATACCCAGTTATCCCACAGGCTCCTGAGGTTCCCTTGGAAGCACCTGGAGCCGTGGGGGGCAATCTCTTGTCTCTCCTCTCCCTGCAGGTACAACAACTACGACCGTGC